CACAATTTGTTTAGTTAGTTTACCTTATTTTTTTCTCCAAAAGAACCGATAAGAGTACCGTTAAAAGACCGGACCGATAAGCGGTATCGATAAAAGTAGTAGTACCGTTAAAACCTTAACGATACCCATCCCTACCTCAGACACTGTTGCTTGCAGATGTTGTGGTTTCGGACCCGCCGAAGGGTCTGTGGGGCTTAAGAGGTACAGATAATTGGGTTTGCCTCAGTGAAATGTCATTGTATTAGGCATTTAGACCAGTGGTTCTCAACTGGTGGGTCGCGGACCCGTTTCGAGTGGGTCGCAGATGTGTGAGTGAAGAAAAAGAAAAATGAAAAAAGAAAATTCCTTTTTTTCTTTTTGGGAAANGTGTGTCGTGTGTGTTGTGTGTGTGTGTGGTGTGTGTCCGCGCAGTCTGGAATTCGGAGAGAGTCCAGTCCTGCTCGGCTCGCTATAAAATAAATATGTTAGTTTCCGACGAGCAGGTTTTGTGAGAGAGGAGAGAGTCTGTTCGGAAGTACGATATAAGTCCTTGTTGTGCTGGTCTCGAAAACGTACCGCCAATGAAAAGTGCTTTGACCGGCGTTATAAATTTGAGTTTTGATCAGATGATCTTTAATAAACAAATTACAACTTTCTTTAGTGACCGGAACTAAAATAAAGTCTCCCGTTTACCAACAACAGAAAATTTACCTGCTTACTTTTCCATCAGCGAAAAAGTTTGGTCCGACACAGATGCCTCCCAGCTGTCCATGTGTATATTATGTCATATATTTTGTGAAAGGTGTGTAACTGGTCTTCTTAGAAGTCGCGAGGACTAGACGTAAACTTCAATACTCTATAGAGATGATCTGACTAAATCGATTAGAAGAAAGGAGTGTTAAGGAGTTATTGGGATTTTTGTTTCTTTGCGATGCAACCGGCTATCCCACCGGTTGTTGCCGGGTGTCGGGAAGGTAGTCCTCGTTTGCACGCCGTCGAAGTCTTTCCTACCGTCTATATTTTTGGGTTTACAGGTTTTGTGTACTTTCTTGTAAGAAGTCGTTGGAACTGTTGTGTACCGTCCGTAAATCTCTTGTAAGTCGTAGAACTCTTTGTATGCGTCGCAAATGATCTTGAACGTCTTTGGTTTGTGACGTTTACGTTTACGACGTTCTTCGAGTTTGGGTTTTGCCTCTGGTGCCCCTGTGATTTCTCACTGCGTGTGTCGACCCTCTGGTCCCCTGTGATTTCCTCACTGCGTGTGTCGACCCTCTGTCCCCTGTGATTTCTCACTGCGTGTGTCTACCTCCTGGTCCCTGTGATTTCTCACTGCCGTGTGTCGACCCTCTGTCCCTGTGATGTCTACTGCTGTGTCGACCCTCTGTTCCCACTGTGATCTCTCACTGCGTGTGTCGACCCTCTGGGTCCCCTTTTGATTTCCTCAACTGCGTGTGTCGACCCCTGGGCCCCTGTGATTTCCTCACTGCCGTGTGTCGACCCTCTGCGTCCCTGTGATTCCTCATTCCGTTTGTCGACCCTCCTGGGGTCCCCTGTGATCTTCCTCACTGCGTGTGTCGACCCTTCTGGTCCCCTTTTGTGATTTCACACTGCGTGTGTCGACCCTCTGCGTCCCCCGTGATTTCACACCTCGCGTGTGTCGTCCCTCTGTGCCCCGTGATTTCTCACTGCGTGGTGCCGACCCTCTGTCCCGCTGTGATTCTCACTGCCGTTGTGTTCATCGCCTCCATTTCATGACTATTGTCTTGTTTCATTGTTCATAAACCATGAGGTGATGAAGGGTGGAGACCACTATTGTATTCTGGATGTTATATCTTTTTTCATACTAAATATTTATTCATCAACGTTCTTACTAACCAGATAACAAGATTTTCTCTCATAATTTTAGTCAGGTATATAGATTGGGTGGTAATAGTCGTACGACGGTCGTCACGTGTGTGAGACGTACACCGACTCGATCATGTTAGTGAGTAAGCGGTTCTGCACTGGCCACGGTCCTCTCGTAAATACCCTCGAGCTTCCCGATTCGATAAGTCTGTCTTTTGTGTGTGATAGTACGACTGACGATTGCGATAGTGCATCGGTGTTGTGTGTGCACGTCTTCATTCCCCGTACTCCGGATAGTTGTGTAGAAGACTCCTACAACGTGCCTGTGATTATATCTCGAGACGTCAACAAAGTCGACGCTGGGCTCGTTCCAGGACCTACCGTATTAGTAGAGTCAAAATGTACGCACGCAAAGACAGCATAGTGTAAACATTATATCCGTAAAGTGCGTAACCTGCTGTGCACACTCTTTATTCCTAGTTATAATATAAGTAAAATCGGTTCTACGTTAGTCATTGTGACCCTTGTAGTTATTGTTGATGAAAATATATTTCGAAAATGACTTGTCGTACATACGTCTCATTATGAGCAACATAAACGTCATAGAACTACTTACAATATCATCGTTTTGTTCTAATCACTTGTTAGAGGGTGGCATACTGTTTTATTAGAGTACGTACAAATGAGTACAATTGTTTTACATTAGCCGCGATACTAACGTTATTTTTGTTTTTCGTTGATAAAGCGGGGAACACGTACTTTGAGCGAGGTAAACTGAAGAAACAAATGAAGGCGCTTGTTCACTGTAGTAGACACTTGTGTCAACGATCGCGATCCGTATATCGTGATTCCCCGCCCCGTAGAGTTCACCAACTGGTTCAGTGTTGTCTCGACCGGTCGATTTGGCTAGTCTCGTTTGACCCGAGACCAAAGCTGTCTCCACTCTTCTCTCCACGACGTCGTCGTCCGTCATACTCTTGTTATTTCTCCCGAAAAACTCGTATTTCGTACTCTCTGTACAGGGTCATCTCTGTGATCGTATGACCTATATGTGGATTGCTGTCGTCCTCTCGCCTGAGAAATTCATCCTGTGATGTATGTGTGTGTGTGTGTGTGTGTGTGTGTGTGTGTGTGTGTGTGTGTGTGTGTGTGTGTGTGTGTGTGTGTGTGTGTGTGTGTGTGCGCGCATCAGTCTCTCCATCTTAACAAGAGACTCTCTGACGCCAAGATAAGTGTTTTCCAAGAGGCAATACACGACTGCATGAGTGTGATCTATTAAAGTATATTGACTGATACTAAAAGCGTAGAGGAATTAGATCCGAGCGGTGCATGTGCAGCTCTAAAACCACTTTTGTATCTGGTTATTTTTGAAGTTTCTATGTGCGTTAACATAATCTCTAAGGCTGGTAAATGTAGTGTTGAATTTGAGCTTCTGTTGAGCTTCTGAAATTATCCATAAAGTACATATTTAAAAGAGTATATGTGTTTTTCCCAGCCCAGGTATAAGAACATAACAATATATCCCAAATATTTATATATAGAAATGTGTAATAATATAATGCTTTATCAATACTAGGTCATAAAACACATTGAATTGAATATCTTAAAGGGGCCCTATTCTGCTAATTTTGTGTCCTCTTTTGTTCCCCTACTGGAGGGAACACAAGGATTTTAGCCTTTGCAGACCGTTTACATGCACTAAAACCTACAGTATAGAACACACTACAGGAAAGGGAAAACCCCAAGTACTCCTTGCCGTAATCTTTACCATCAGTATAGTCAAAGTCAAAGTCAGCTTTATTGTCAAGAATTCTACATGTGTTATACAGAACATTTGAAATACCGTTTCTCGCAATCCCACAGCGTGACACATATACATATAACAAGATACACAAAGGGCCTAGATAAACGGGGTATCAAACTAAGTAATCGTCGTAATAAGTACTAGGTAAAACAAATATATAAAAAAAAAACACAATCTACAGAACATGAATTGACATTAGTACAAGTATTCCTTAGTGCAAAAAAGTACAGTTACAGTGCAGTATTCAATTCAATTCAAAACCTTTATTTATTCAGGTTAAAACCCATTGAGATCATTGACCTCTTTTTCAATGGTGACCTGCTGCAAGTAGGTTCCAACATGAATACCAACATGACAGAAAAACAAAGAGGACATCATATGGCATATTTACATTGACTACAGTTTGTATAGCTAGTAGCATTTACAGATACCAACAGTTTCCGCTTGGATAGCATCTAACCTTGCTTTAAAAACATGTAATGGAACCAAACTGCTCAACTTCCATTCCTTTTGCAGACTGTTCCAAGTTAGCGGAGCTACGCATCTAAAAGCTGTATTCCCTAAGACAGTCCTAGCAGTTGGCACATTTAATACAACCACAGCATTCGATCTCAGGCAGTAGCCATTTTCAATTCGCCGTGAGATCAGGGAGCAGATGTAGGATGGAAGTTTCCCTAACATTGCTTTGTAAATAAAAAGATACCAGTGATTGAGCCGCCGTACAGTTAGTGAAAGCAAACCAGCCCTTGCATACAGGGTACAATGATGGGTTAATGCTTTACAGTTTGTCACAAATCTCAGTGCACTGTGATAGGCGGCATCTAGCTTGATCAGGTAATTGGCCGGTGCATTCATATAAAACAGATCACCATAGTCCAGCACAGGTAAAAAGGTCACAGAGCCTTTTCCTGGCCTCAAGTGAGAAACAGGACTTGTTCCTGTAGAAGAAACCTAGCCTAACCCTCAGTTTTTTTAGCAGGTTATTGACATGCAGTTTAAAAGAGAGACAGTCATCAAGCCAGATACCAAGGTATTTGTAACAGGTAACCACTTCAAGTTTTATTCCTTGCGTAGTTACAATATCTAAAACAGGCTCTGGTGTCTTTTTAGCTTTTGAAAAGAGCATTACCTTGGTTTTATCCACATTTAAAAGAAGCTTTAGTTCAGAGAGCTGAGTCTGAATAATGTTAAAAACAGCCTGTAATTTAACACCAGCCTCCTTAATGGAGGGACCTGCACAGTACATCACGGTATCATCCGCATAAAAATGTAAAGTAGCTTCATCCACATTTTCACCTAAACTGTTGATATATATGGAGAATAAAAGTGGACCTAAAACCCTTGAGGAACACCATTAGCAATGTTTAACCACTCAGAAGACAGCCCATCAAAGTGAACACATTGGGACCTTTCAGAGAGGTAGTTCACAAACCACCCCACTGCATGGCTGGATATGCCAATACTGGGTAGCCTCTGCTTTAAGATCGATGATCAACGGTGTCAAACGCTTTGGAAAGGTCAATAAACAGAGCTGCACAACTCTGCTTATTATCTAAAATACTAGTAATGTCATTTACCACTTTCATTGTTGCAGTGATGGTGCTATGTTTCTTTCTGAAGCCTGACTGATGTTTAGACAGGATATCATTTATACATAAAAACTCCTTTACTTGTTCACTCACAAGTCGTTCGAGCACCTTAGCCAGAACTGACAATTTAGAGATTGGCCTATAGTTATTTAAAATAGTTGCCTCCCCTCCTTTCAGTAAAGGCAAGACATAAGCAGACTTCCATACTTTTGGAATTGTATTTGTGCTGAGGGAGAGGTTAAAAAGAGAAGTGAGAGATGGAGCAATAAAATCTGCAGCTATCTTTAAAAAGAAAGGTTCTACGTTGTCCGGGCCAGACGGTTTCCTAGGATCTAACTTGGATAAAGCTTCATGGACAATACCAACAAGCTCTGCTTTGTAATGTTGGATATTCTGGTTTTCTCTCTCTGCTGAACACTGTCTATATGTGACATGGGAACATGGGCTCGCTTGTATTTTCAGCCTTATACACACTCTCAACTACGACAGTGTCACTTCCTTCAGGTCATACGAACACGCTAACATGTCTGAACAGACATTGAGAAAGATGAAATATGGCGGCAGGTCTGTCTCTGCTGCCCATTCAAATAGTTACAAGAGAACATCTGCGCTCACATTGCTTACATTCACATGGCATAAGGGAATCTAATTGCTTCTATATGAAATGCTAATGAGCTAATGAATATCTCAGCCTGGCAAAACATCTTTCAGATATCAGCATCCAGGCAGTCTGTTCAATACAATTGATTCATCCAGATGGGAGAACAACTGCTTTGCAAATGTCTCTTTTTGAGGATCCCAAAGAACATTCAAAGCAGCTGAAGAGATATATTTTTGTTTGAAACTGAGTTTTTTTTTTAAAGAGGAAACAGTGGCTTGTTTTGAGTTCCAGGAATAATAAAGGCTAATGTCATTGTGGCCATTCGATTTCACGCTCTAAGTACAGAACTACTTTGGCTCTGGATGCTGCATTTTTTAGGCATCAGCAGAGATTGCCTTGAGGACTCATAATCAATAGTAAAATTCAGAGCAGGAGGCCACGGCAACACGAGCTATGACTGAGACGTGAGTTAGGCTTTAACCGGCTCCAGCTGCTTTTGTTTGTGCTCTTTATACTATGTTTACCTGGAATATAACGCAATATCAGAGTGACTCACTCCTGAGGAATAAAGTGACGAGCCTCTGCTGCAAACTCTAAGCTTACACATTTTAGAGATGAAGGAAAAGAAATATCCACAAAACAGATATTGTTTTTGGTTAGGATTCAAGCATATAACGAAAAATGAATCGTTATATGCTTGAATCCTACTGAATTAGGTGAAATGTGATACCTGTGCGAATATCGTGGCTGATGCCCTCCACAGAGATGGTGGCATTTGCTATTCCGCGACCTTGCAGATCCCTCACCACGCCTTTGATCCCACGATGCACCTGCACATGAAAAGCACGACTCATGCAACCATGTGTAAATTCTGCTCCCAAGTTTACCCCATCACAATCTACTTCATATTTTTAAATGATGAATGTAACATGCAGTGGTGATGTGTATGGTGTATAATGGATGATGTTCAATTTATAGAACATAGCGTGTTTAAAACATTTATTCCACATCTTGTTTCAATATTTAAATTAAAGTCCCAACATGGGCCCGATCCTCTGAGAGAATAAAACGTAACAGGCCTGCTTGTCTTCTCAAAGTGGCTGAAAGTACGAAGTTAGCTTGTAGAGTATTTATACAGAACCTTTTTCGAAAAATTGTACTGAGAAGAATAACTGAAAGCGCTATCATTCCCCTAGAATAACTCAAAATTATTAAAAAAGCGTATGTTTGTGTTGCTTTTCTTGTGTTTGTGTGAGTTGCGGGGGCTGCTTTGCCTCTGTACCTGCTCCATGAAGACAAGAAGAGACTCTCGATTGTTCTCCCATTCCTCAGGCAGCTCGCTCTCATGAGGGAATTTGTCACAACCCACATACATCGATAACTCAAAGCAGTTTGTGTGCAAATAGCTGAAGTCATTCATACCTGCCAAGAAAGAGAAACATCTGTAGGCCACGCAGACAAAACTAAGGCCAACATGTGTGTGGTTATTGGATAAAAGTTGTTTTAATTAAGAGTGAAATTAATTTAAAATGTTTCCTTTGTTTGTCTGCCTTTGAATTCTTACATGATGCTTCCAGTTAAAAACAGCTCTGTTCTGAATATGCAGATGTGTGCTAAACAAAGCTACAGCTCAAAGGATCAGAGCTGAGCACAGAAAACCTGAATAACATAAAGTAAGGATCAGAGAAAAAGACCCCGACAGCTAGGGACACTAACTGCCAGCCGCGGTGTGCCACAACGCTCCGTTGATGGTGCCGTCCTCCTTGGCAAAATCCTCTGTGTGGCAAACCCTTTGGTTGGCTGCCGTCATGAGGCGGTGGGTGGAGGCGTAGGAGAAGGCCAGCCAGCGGAAGCTGTGGTCATCTGGGGTGGGGGTCTGCTCCCTGCCCACCCCCAGGGAGCGAGTTTTGTCGTAAGGGAAGGTCACCACCAGCTCCCCTCCCTGGATGTTGCCTCCAAGCACAAAGGGCAACTTCTCCATCCATGCGATCAGAGCCCTTGTCTCCACGGCAACCTACATCAGGGACACAAGAGAGGGGAGGATAATATAATTCCAGCAATCATGTCAGTATTGTGATTGCCAAATGAACTCCCTCACACTGAAAGAAATTGCTGTTCACACGCTGTAGACTAATTTCACTAAGATTTATTCTGAAAAGTCAACCATATTTTTTTAAGAGGCAACCAGCCTGCATCCAATGGCTTGTATTGATCTAAGGGAATGCCACTGCTCTTTGGACTCATAATTAAAGTGGCCCTTCTATCTCAAAGCGCTGGTGAAACGAGCGCGGTGAGTTTTCACAGCTTCCTGAGCACAGATGGGGATCCCAGCTCTGCAGCTGCAGCAGCTATTCTGGAGGCTTTGTGTGACTCACTCGCGGCTCTCGCTAACGTCAAAACACAAGTGAGGATGAGCTTTTAATAGATCGTCGGGTCTATTTCAGCTCACCGCCTCTTCGTCACAAATGCATCCGCTTCTCCCTAAATAGACAGCGGTGGTATTCTCGTGAGGATGCTTTATAACCTTTTTTAGAAGTTAGGAGTACAGGATAAGGACATAAGTAAGTAAAAAGCACTAAAAACTAAATGGCAATTACATTATTAAAGATTAAGCACTTGAGTTATATTTTTATAACACATATGACACAAAACAAGGTCATGCTAGACATCTCTCAGATGATGAAGCCTGCAGATTTGGGCAAAAATGTGGCATTTCCATAAGCCATACTCTTATTGTATTCCCATAATGTTGCTGAAATATACACATTGAATACGTTTAAAATAGAATATAACTATCAGACTCACTGATGCGTTTTTGGACAGGTACCACTCTGGGATGGGCACATGGTGGTTGAACATTTTGCGAGGGATCCACTTCTTAACCTCGGCTTCCCACAGTATGGAGTTGAGATCTGGGAAGTTATGGTGAATGTCTATTCCATCACTGCTCCATCGACCCAGAGACCACCCGCTGAGCTCTGAACCCTGGGCAAAAGAAAAATGTGAGGAAAATGTAAATTTAAGAAGAACTGAACCAAGCCAAACATCTGGTTATTATAATTAGAAGTCTGGTATAAATGATGTCTCTCCTGTTTGTACAACTTAAAAACAAGAGGAAATAATGGTTTGCCAGAGTAAGCGTTCAAAGAACTTAACAAGTTAACCCTTCTTTTTTTGTTTTGTTATTGTAATACCGGTACTCATTTCGGTCACAATAGGCTAAAGTATACCACAACCTCATGTCCTAAGTAGGACTTAAGGCAAATATTTTTTTATTTCTGGTGAGGTTTTATAAGTTGAAATACAAAAAACCTGGCCTGTCTGGTGTCTTTTTGTATGGCGCAAATAAAAATTCAAGCCAACACAACATTTACTTTTGAAGGAGAATGTGTTACGGTTCGTAGAGTGCATCTACAAATCACTGAATGACATGAAGCCATTGACTATAAAGCAACCAAACAGTGTCTGGCTTGCTTTTGATCTTTACTTGTTCATAAATATTGGCCCTTTTATCTAGTAGTCCTGCAGATCATTTAAAACCAGACTAACACATTTTTTTTTATATTAATGCATCACAGGCACTCAACATATTTGTCATCAGGGCAGTTCATATCTTCCACCAGATCATTTAAACCAGTTTTCCAGCACGCACCACATGTGCTCTAATCGGGAGAAGACTTGCCAACAGATATGGTGCTGTTCCCTAATATGAGGTCACTAATGGCCGCCCTGCAGACCTACCACTTCAAAGGCTTTCTCGTACCCATCGGGGTTGACGGATGGCAGCAGATGGATTCTGGTCTCCTCCACCAGATGACGTATGCGCTGGTTGCCGGACAGATACTCCAGACACATGAACTGCATCAGAAGGAGGAGCAGCTCACGTCCCAGCACCTCGTTGCCATGGGAACCTGCAGTGTAACGAAACTCTGGTTCACCTGGTCAACAGGTTCAAACGAGAGGAGCGATTTGGGGGAGGGGATGGAGAAAGAAGGAGATTAAATATGCAATCACTGCAACGGCACGTACACGACATTGAGGAAAACAGTCCGAGGAACGCATTGTGATGTTTCTGATGTTGTTAGTATTTTATATTAAATCAAGTCCTGCCTAATTAAAGCACACTATACTCACCAACTTCATGCTCTCCTGGGTTGTCAGAAATCTCTATGGCGTACAGCTTGAGGCCACTGTGGCTCTTTCCAATGTTATAGATCCGGGTGATATTAGGGCACATTTCATTGACGACCTTCATGAGCTGTGGGAGGAAAATAATGAAGCATCAGCAATCAAGTGTTTGCATTAACTAATGGACATCAAGCAAGGAATATTTCATTCATTTTCATGGGCTTGAAGAACATTTAGCTGCTAATCCTTTTAAACAGGCACCTTACTTATGGACAATCATGAGTAAATTAATATTACCCAAATAATTCTGACACAAAAGCCTTTTTGTTTTCTGCTAGCATCCGTAAGAGACAAGGAGAAAGGTTCAAACAAGTCAATTAAGTGAGAAAGGGCGGGCTTAATTGCACCACAGTTGGTGGGCCCTTCTGTTCCTGTCAATCAAACTCTGAGTAATAATATTTCAGATTTTTTTTTTTCGGGCTGCTGCTTATGTAGTGATGAATATTACGCTTTAAAGTGCAAAAATGTAAACTTAAAGGTCCCATGTCATGCTTTTCCGGTTATTACCTGTCCTCTTGCGTGTTATGAAGGTTTTTATGTATGTAAACGGTGTGCAGAGTCAAAAATCCTCAAAGTACACCCTGTAGGGAGTAAAACTCACAGAAAAGACCTCCCCAAAACGCCTCGTTGGAGATTTCTCATTCTCTTCCTGGGTACTCTGACGTGGGGATACCCAGAGGCCCGTAGGTGGTAGCTGGTGACGTCCCCAGTAGAGAGGGCCCGCGTGGTCCCCGATATATCAGTAGAGCATCTACGGTCGGACGTGAGTCTGTTGTGTACACTCGTCTTTACATCCAGGGATAAGGTACCCTTTGTGTTTTGTGCTCAGGTACATGCCGATGTGTGTGACGACCTTTTACGACGCGGTTGAAAAACGAACGAAACAATGTAAAAATAATTTCCATTTGACATAACCCCTACTAGTACGTACCCCGTTACAACTACGGAGGTTTCACAATTGCACGACACGGGGGTCATCACACAAGGCAGAAGCTCCCTCTGGTCGTGAGTAGGAATCCCACAGATATCCATGGAGAGTTGTAGATGGATAAGGATGGAGTGCAAGCTAATTTTGAAGGATAATTGTGATCATTGATTGATTTTGTGCCTTAAATCCCTGTGATGTCTGTTTGAAGGTTGTTTAATGTGAAGAAGCTCACAGTGACAATGCAAACATTATTTAGCATTAGTGTTTACCATGTCATCATTTTATGTTGGGAGGGTAACGGTTAGCGATTATCACCAAATACATAGTACAGTGTAGACTATTGGGACATATATTGTGATCCCAAATTGCATGACAAACCCTCATATGATTGTAAAAACCTTTCACTCAAAACCACAAATGTCAACCTCACTTTGGTGCTAGAAACACGTGGCCATCACCCAAGTCATTATGGTTCATTTTCTGGTCACCACTAATGTCTGTACAACATTTCATACCAACCCATACAATAGTTTTTAAGATAAAGCTGTTTGGAAGCAAATTAATGCAACAACAAACAACATTGCTACCCACACTAAACAAACAAACTGTATTAGGTTAGTTGAAAGCAAAAATATCAAGTTAATATTATTGCTTTCAACTAACCTAATACAGTTATGTGAAATGTATTGACATAACACATTTAATTAAAGTCAACATTTTGGTTTTTCAGTGCATAGAGCCATGTTGCTAACATTGCTAAATTCAGTTAAAAAACAGCCAAGTATCTAATTGCACATGGCATGATTTTCTAAATAACTATGGGAAATGAAAATTGAATGTAAGCAGACAGCAACATTGCTCCAGAACTTTAAATGAGTTGGATTTTCCTGTAAATCCGAATGGAACATTTGACTCCACTAATATAAACAAAACAAGCTTTCCAATCCACATGGCTCTGAACCGTCACTGCTGTTTGCCCTTTTCACAAGTCTTTTCTGATCCCCTCACTGTGGGATTAAGGATTTATGAGTATGATTGATTGGAGTACAGACCCTTAAAAGGTCACTTCACTATCAAAATAACACAGAAAAGATTTGACTGCACAGTAAGCTTGTTCATCACACTCAGATGACAGAAATAATAAAGGGATGTAACAAGAAGGGATTATACTATACACATTTCCACTTTAATTATATTTACAGTAGGTCTTTACTTACTGTAAGATTGGATAAGTCTGCTGTGCACGGCTATTGTCTGTGAAGCTAGTTAAGCTATAAATTATATTACTGGTTTCCATGGCAATTTATGTACCTATCATCTAAATACAAAGGGAAGGGTAAAGTCTCACCTCCCACTGCCTTAGTGGAGGAGTCTGCGAGATCTTTTTTAAGCATGCGTTTAGTATCTGACATCACTATTGCTTTTATAATTGTGCCAGGCACTGTCTATTATTTTAGTACAGTTTTTTAAGGTAAAGTTAAAAATCACTCGGTGAAATGTTACCAATCAAGCACAGAGGTAATATTTGTTTAATTTATGCCGGAATTTATCTGGATTTTTACCAGGGTCATTTTTTCACTAGGAAAAAACATAAATGCTCCTGTTCACATTTTCCTCTACTCTGACTTTGCTCGGTAATAATGCGATTCTGACAACTTTTGGCCTTTGCACTTCCTAATTGGAAAGGGTGGGCACAGATTTCTGGAAACTGCTGTGTAGTTAGAGAGCATGGGGAGTTACTTTATCAGGCTGTGTTTGTAATTTTCCTTCAAGGCAAGCACGATCTGAGGGTGCAGAAGACACCGATGGCTGAGACAGAATTTCTCCCGCAATTAGCTCTGTAGGGCATGTTACTGTCGACAGTGCCAACTCAGGGGTTTCTGTCTATAACGGAGCTTTAATTAGCAGAACTGGGAATTCTTACCAGGCCTGACCAGCTCAGCACTGATGTCTTTATCCAGAAGCGTGGGAGTCCCTGTCATCCCACATCCTGCTCACAGAGCTCTGATGGGACAGTAAATCACCAGTGAAGTGTGTTTGCAATAAAAAACATTGTATTATTTTGATGCTCCACCTCTCTGTGCTCTACCTAAGATACTTTCAAACAACGAAACCCCTGAAGTCTTAGCTTCGCAACTCCTGTACACTTTTCAAGTTATTTTTATGTTCCAGACAGCTATTCATTGATCTCTTATTATGGATATATTTCAGTAGGAGTTTGAAGCTTGATGGATCTTTTAAATCCACCAGCTAAGTCTTTGTATATTATGGCGTTATCGTTGCCAGGTTCATAACCAGGACATTTTGAAATTCTAATTTAAGAAGACTTTTTTTTAAGAAAAGGTTTGTTATATTTGGTTTGTTAGGATGCCGATTTAATGCATTATCTGTAAATGACTGCAACATTCACAATGGTGTTTTTTAGATTTAGGTTCTAAGAACACTCACATAACCATGAAAACGCTACTGAAATGTGCTTTATTCAATATCTTACCCTGAAATGTTAAGCCAGGTTTTCCCAATTGGCACTGTTTTCCCTTATACAATCATGTAAAATTTACAAAATGCAATGAAAATGTTATTTTCACTGTTTGAATTGCATAAATGAAGTTCAAATTTGAAGAGTATGCCAATAGGTTTTGTATTGTACATGCCTGAGAAGTATGTAAAACACACCAACATGGTTTTCTTTAACATTTACTGCACTGTTTAAATGTCAGAACACATGCTATGCTAGTTAGCATTCACAATAACATCACCCACATATAGGATTCGGTGTATTGTTAGCCTGGTTGTCGACACCTAAATTCCCACCAGCATTTACATTTCTTTAGCGGTTTAAATTAATATTTTAATGAATGAAGTAAATCAAAACTCAGTCTGATTATGGTGGCAAAGTTTCCTTGTATTCAGAACACAAACTCACCCTAGGTCAAATGAAAATCAGATGCGTGGCAAACGTAACCTTTGCTCTTCTTCCAAAACTTAAAGCAGCGACAGGCTCAAGTGACACTACTAATACGAATTCTCTGACCTCCTCTCCCATTGTCCTGTTTCGAAACAGACTGTGAGCATTCAACGTGTCTGGCCGAGTACTGAGAGACTTTCTCACAGTCACCTCATTTGCATTAAATTCATACTGAGAGGATTTGTATTTTTTCTTCCTCACGCTAACAGGAGCGATTGGGTGACCTCATACAAGGTCATGGTGAGCAATGACAGTCACACCTGGATAACACTGAAGAACGGCTCAGAGGACATGGTGAGTAACAATCATGGCAATTAGAAAACTAGTGTCCATATATCTAAGAAGTAGGCATTTAATATCAGGCTTTTGAACTCATTATTACCCCTTCATAGGGAGTCGTGTTTAGTATTTCCCATGTTGGCTGGAACATCATAAAAAAAGTTATTCTTGCCTAAGAGCAATTTCAGAGAAACATTTAGATCTCTGCTTGTCTCCGGGCTTAATGAGCTGGAAGGCAGTAGTAAATACTGATGATCCTCAAGCAGATGGGAACTTCCTCCTGGCTCATCATCAGAGATACATCTATGCACTTGATGTAATTGAATAGAAACCAAACCCAAAATAATACAAAACAATCTAAAGCAGCAGCTGAGGCATTTGACCAGTAAAATAATAACCATATGATCCATAAACATGCAGATCAGATGATGTTTTTGAAGAAAATCATATCCTTGCCTCTCTCTACTGCTTTTTACATCCCAGCTAATGAAATGTTGCTGTAACTGTACACTGCTGCGGCAGCTGATGTCACAGATGTGGGAGGTTATGCCCCACAGTAATTTACTCTACAAGTAACAAGCTCCCACTCACTCTCACCTTTAAAGCCAAATGCCAAACCACACTGTTTGTCTTGCAAAATGCCAAAAGGTACAGAGAAGAACCATAATGTTTTAAATGTATAATAAGCTCCCAGTTGTATCACATCCTACAGGTGCATTTGTCTGTGTTTGATTAAGGGTTATGTGGACCCACACAGCATTATAGTGTGCATGTTCTAACTGAATTAGTTATATTTTACATCTGCTGTATGTAGTCCTGTCGTTTACACATCGTGACTAATGTTATTAATCTGTTAGGCTGCACTTTTAATCTCATATGGGACAATGGATGACACTTTAAGCAACATTTGCGTAATTGACAGATGTTGATTAAAAGGCAATACACTAATAAACTACAAAGACACTCATATAATGCAGAGCTACACCAAGGCTGTGTCCATAAGTGTAAAAAAGTGGTCGCCCCTTTAATTGGATACTTTCCTAAATGTAATGGATTCTTCCTTGGCACATGAAACACCTTTCCACCAAGTCTTTCTGTATTCCTGCTGGCAAAAAGATAAACCAACAAATCAGCTAACCAACCAAAAACAATACCTTCTTGGTAAAGTTCAAATAATAAAATAGCTAAAATAAAGTAATGTTCACTTCAAGCAAAAACACTTCTTTAATTACTATCTTGATGAATGTGTTTGCCTCAGTAGATCTTCATTGGCAACAGGGAAAAGGAAATCCCAGTCCGGAACATCTTCCCAGTCCCAGTGCTCGCCAGATACATCCGAGTCAACCCTCGCTCCTGGTTTCGCAACGGAAACATCTGTATGAGAGCGGAGATCCTTGGCTGTCCTATGCCAGGTGACGGGTTTGTATTGACAAAGACACACAAATTATTCCCGACATACAAGGGTTAAAACATCAGAAGAATATATGATATGGGTCTGGTAATGAAGGGAAGCAATCATGCTCTCAGAAAGACATGCATGATGTCAACATAGACGGACAGCATCACTGTTTGAAAAAAAAGAAAATCTGACCTGGTTGTGGTTATGTTTGGAAAAGGCATATCCTGCGCTTGGATTGGGTTAGAGAAAGATTGGTTGGTTAAAATATGTACTTTTAAATATCTAGGGTAGAGGACCTTGATCATCAAGCGCACAATGGGGAACCTGGTTACAGTTAGCCAAACACAGCAGTCATGGGTTATGGCAGGATGTTGCCTGTTGATAGGAAATGGAAAAAGGTCCAATTTAAAGTGTCTTAAAGTCTGTACACCCATGTGTCATGTTGCCAATTTAAAAACTAAAATATTTTTAAACCCTAGAGCCTCACTAGGGAAATGTAGGATTTTTGCCTGTTTCGATCATTTTGGGTTTGTTAAAGCATATGGCATACAAGGATGTTAGTGCTATAATTTTCTTTTTTTTCTCATTTTGGCAGTTCCACCTCATCTCCTTTAATACATCTCTCATCAATGTGTAGCCAAAATACAGACACACAGACCTTTAAGGACAAAGATGTCCCCATGGAAACAAGTTAAAACCACATATTTTGATTCCATGGTCAGGAGAGCATACAAAAAAACATGCATTCTAATCTAAAAGGCTTTATATCTAGAGATCTGGCTTCAAAGTTTTAAGCTATTTTTTAACAGGAGCCCTTTTCTCATGTTTGCCCTTTGTTACACACCCATGCTTTTTATCTAGTTTCCAGCACACATATCGGAGTCTTCGAATACCAAATATACAATGAACATAAGTGGAGGATAGAGAGCAGGTGCTCAGCGTTTATAGTCTCTACGTACTACCTTACATGACTGATCATTCCTTTCCTCTGTACATAAAAATAACTTATCCGCCCGCTTTTATATGTTTTCTTCTTCCCCACAGATCCAAATAATTATTACCACAGACGCAATGAAGTCATAACAACGGACGACTTGGACTTCAGACACCACAGCTACAAAGAAATGAGGCAGGTGAGTCACAGAAAACAAAAGATATCAACCGCCTGCTTATTCAAAGACACCAGGGCATGAAGCAATAAAACATCTTGTGTGAGTGCGAGCCAACACCAGACCACTTGTGTCCTTTGCAAGAACAAAGTTAAGTGAGCGCTGCCAGCCACATGAAAATGCATTAAGCACCTCCTGGGTTGTGTCATTACTTATTCATATAGTTGTCATGAACAGTAGCCTGTGTGTGCCGAGAAGGAGGACAGCTATATTTGTCACTTGCTACACCGTGACTGAGTGGATGTGAAGGTACAAGTGCTGTGAATTACAATCATATATAATGCAGCAGCTCCCCTGTGGACTACATGTGTCCTAAACTGCTGTTATTATTCACAATAAGACTCCAATTAATGCTCAGGAGGTCTGACTCATTGTTAAGCTTTTGTTCCCATGTGTGACTGAATGGATTTAATGTACCGTTTGTTTATCTCTCTGTCCCTTTGAGGTTAATATACACGTCAGACAGGGTGTCCGGCCTCAATAGACTATTTTTTAAACTAAAGCCTTTTCACTCTTGACATTTATTTTCTTCATGCAGGTACCTGTACCCTATATTCCTCTGCTCCACAGCAAGGTAGAAATAGCCCAGTGTGGCTCCTCAAATAAAGTGCATGCCCCATGAGAGGAGTGAAAAGACATCTTTTATATTGCTCAAGGACTTACCTTTTCTTAGAACACCCCTGCTGGTAATATTGTAGCCACTGGATGACTGATACTATCAGAGCGTGGACAGTTTAACGACATTATAAAATAGGTGGGGAAAATGTACTTTTCCACATTCTTTGAATACGAAGATGATATATATAGTTTGCGATACCCTGGTACAATAAACTTTTCTTTAATAATATCATTGGTTTATGTAAAAAGTCACTGCAAGCTAATTAGAACACATTCTATATCGTTCAGTTAGTATGTTTCTGTTAGAAAAATTGTTATTCTACTAAGTGCTGAAAATACTGAAGGTAGTGATTATATCAAGAAGCAGGATGTTATACATTGATCCTGGTAAACACAATCCAGGTATATTTACCAGGGGAATCCTCTGCTTTATTAAATTGGCAGCGAGAATGTCATTGCCAACCTGTAATCCTCTGTGAACAAAACCAGATGTTTGTTTAATGATTTATTTGGTTAGAAAAGTCAAGATTCAGCCCCGATTTAATTAAAAGCCCATCACTCCTGACTGTGTAATGACTTCTGCCGCAGCTGGAAGCACGACTAAACACAGATTTCAGCACAGCTTGTTAGTCTCCTTCCAGCTGCACTTCCTCTTTGTGTCTCTCATGCCCACATGGGTAAATGATAGTGGGGGCTATTTTAATCAGCTCCTCCGCAAGCCTGTCTTCGTAATTACCTTGACTGCTTTTCCACACAGCCCACCCCCTCTTCATCGGTTAGAGTGTTATTAAATAAGATCTGTGACACAGGTTTGGAAATTTGAGATTCATTTTTACAATTTTCTGGTTCCCGAGCATTTTAAATAGAACTACTACAAAATAAAAATACTTGAAAATAAGGTTTTTAAGGTCCCATGTCATGGCCATTTCTACTGATCATAATTCCATTGTTGAGGTTTACTAAAATAGATTTATACTGTGCAATTTTCCAAACTCACATTTGTTTCTCATACAGCATCTCTGTAAAGTATGTGTATTCACCGGTATTCACTCTCTGTCCTAAACGGCTTTTGGAGCTCCTGCCCCCTCGTTGCTGAGATCGCAGCAACGAGCCTCTCGGCGGTACAGCGAGAACAAGCTAAATTCACCCTGAGCACACACAAACACTTACAGCCGAAGTAAAAACAATAAGTGTGGCTTGATATTGAGTAAGAAAAAGGTTTATAACGCTGTGAGAATGGGTCTGCGGAGAGCATTTCTCCGCGATCCCAACTGAGTAGCCCGAAAAACGTTTACCCATTTAAACAGCCGTGGTAGATNTCTAGTTTGATTGATGGATCCTGTACGTGTTTTATAACATGTACAGTCCATGTTAGAAGACGACTGTATTTTCTGTAGATTAGCTATCTCATATGGACAGAATGCTGTCCATATGAGATAGCTAATCTACAGAAAATACAGTCGTCTTCTAACATGGACTGTACATGTTATAAAACACGTACAGGATCCATCAATCAAACTAGAATGTACGAAACTATATGGGCTGAACGAAGGTAGAAACAAAACCAGTGAGTTTGCGTTTCAGGAATGAAAGCAAGACACATCTGTGAGACAGGGATGACTGTCTGAGCTTCTCTTTTATCTCAGCATTCAACTGTTTTAGTGTAATTATGCAACATGAGGACTTATTTGGAATTGAATTATAATAATTTATTATAATCTGACACATTTCTGTATATGTATAGGTTTTGTGAATGATGCTAAACTTCAACCATTTATACATTCTTTATATTTCATTAAAGTTCTTTATTAAAGTTTAGAGTCACATTAGGTTCCTTAAAAGATTTCTGGAAGAAGGTAACTATGGTTTCGCAAACATACACACATTCATCTCCCGAATCTTAAAGTGAGTAGCATGTTTAGATTGTAAAAGGTGACTTGCATTACATTCCATAAGCAAATATGCATGTCTAGGTTTACTGTTGGATTAGTAGTGGAATCTGTTATAAACACATTTCATCAGCCATTTACTTCAAATAAACCTTTCTACTAAAATGACATGTTTAGAGGTGGTCCAGTGATCCGGTATGAATCCTCTATAAGAAAGTTGAATGAATCACAGAAGTGTTGGTGTCTCGAATCTGAAGTGGAAACAAACCAAGCTCACTGGCCACAGGCAACATCTGCTTTCTATGTTGTTCCTCCTGATTTACAGATAATTGTTCTGGACACTATCTCTGCCCCTCTCTGATCCCCTGAGAGGAAGATCCCTTACACACACACACACAGACCAAATAACAAATCCTTTGTATTTTTGGTTTCATGAAACATACTGCCTTTCTTTGGGGATTAAGCTCATGTGTGTGTGTTTCATTAATTGTAAGATTGAGAGTGCAGCCTGCAGAATGATACCGTACACATGCTAATACCCTCAAAGCACAGCTTGCACTCACAGGAAATACCTCTTCCCCCCCAATGCCCCAAAGGTTTGGGGATGTGCCCCTATTTTGACAGCAACACTTTTCATTTCCTTTTTGAGTCGAATACTAAATTACCTGTGAGCTGAAAAGCCAGTGATGGCGGCTGACATCTTATCATGGAGCTTTAATATTAACGAAAGGCAAAATTAAAAGATGCTATCTCTAGATCAGTTTGTATTGCTGCTTTGTGTGGGGGAAACGATGGTTCCATTGAAACTGCCAAGGCAAAGGTGAGTTTGCCCAGGGTGTAATGCAACGGAAACATTTTTGGCAAGCTTGCCCAAGCTAACAACCCACCTGAATGTTGAGACGACCTCTGTGTGGACCGAGGCCGTAGCGTTTCGTGGTTGAAGCGTGAAGCTGGAAATCATCAATCTTCGATGTCTCCAGTCCCATGGGAGGGCATTCTGGGTAACGAGAAAGACAAATTAGCCTGTGATGGTATGTGTGGGATTGCTACAGAATGGTTGCTCCTGAACTTCTGTTTACTAAATAATGAGCAATTTAGACTTTTTACATTATGCTCAAATGTATGAAGCAAAAAGATATAACATATAGATACTCTGTAGACAAAATGCAACGAAGTCAACACATAAACAATGAACAGTTGTATTAATAATATTTTATTGATGAGGCGAAATGCCAAAATTAAAGCAGGATGTGATTGTTATGACTGTTATTAGTGCTGATGTTTCTTCATTCTGCCTCCGAACCAAACACAACAACTCAAGATTGAAACTCTATGCATTTTAATTAATTGTTCTCAAACTTTGCAGCTTATTTGATCCCAGAACAGACAGTATCCAAACTTCAAGCTTTGAATAAAACAATCATTTTAAAACATTTTATACTTCTGTCCGTAAACAAGTTATTATCTCAAAACTTTGGAAATCAAACAGAAAAAGGGGAACCTAACCAGCGTGATGGAGGCTTTGAAGTCTAAACTGCTATGAATTTGAAAATGTGCCACTTTTCATGGATGATTAATGACTGAACACTATGAACGCTTCCTTTTTGTAGTTTTGCAATGTACGCCTATCACAGCCATCTAACTGCACCCTGAATGCATGATTACATTGTATAACTAAAGCAATATTATTGAATGGAGAACATGGGAAATTGCAAAAGCTATACAGTTGCAAACCTGTCAAGCTTGTTTAAAGCCATCGGAAAAAGATATATCATTTGATCAAAGGGAGATATTTCGATAGAAGGTTTCTAAGATTACTGAAACGTCTCTTATACATTTACTCAATGCATGCAGACTGTACTTTGTAAAACTGGTATGCATGCTGGACTGAGAGTTTTCTTTAAACTGACAGACAGCTAAAAACATAATGGTTGTGTGATTGCTCGAAAGCGTTAAATTCCCTTAGAGCACATAAGCAATTTAAAAAATGCTCTTCCATAAAGTTATGAGTCGGATAAATACAATTTAAAAAAAAGATTAAAGCAGCAGAGGCTTGGATATTACTTTTAGTTCATAGTGCGAGTAAAGATTCCAAATCACTGGTTCCTACATTTTCGGATATCTAAAAATGATAATGCCCCCCTGTCTGATTAACATTATGTTCAAACTCTTTGCTCTATTCTGTTTTTTTGAAGTCTCCAAGCCCAAGCTAACACTGATGCCATCACTAAGACCTCATTAGGGTTATTTGGGTTTCTTTCTCATACTTTGCTCCCACTTTCCATGCTTCCATTTTGATTTCTGCAGATTAAGATACTTTACAGTGCAGGCATCCTCCAAGCCCAAACAAAAGGACATATTCAATACAGGAGTCCCAGAATTCAATTCTTTACTAGCAGTGCAGAAGACCCCAATTAGCTGTCATCGATTTGACTTATCATCTTTTAATTATTCCTTGAGTATGGCAATTATCCAGTAACACCCACCAATGCCACAGAAAAGGTTTGGCAGGCATGAGGACGCCTTCAAAGCCCTCTGCCTTTATTTTAGATAAAAAAAACATTCTTAAGAAAAAGAGAGAACTGCAAATCACTTAAGAATGTTTTCTTTTGCTGCTGGAGGGAGTTTGCAGTTCATTTGATCAGATGCCTGTCTTTAAGTGAATGCAGAAGCAGAGTTGGTGTTCACTAAATAGAGCTCTTTGTGTGAGATTGGCTCATCCTTTACACAACAGTAAATGTCGACAAGTAAGAGCCAAACAGTCAAATCAAGGTTCGTATGTGAAATCCTAGCAGCTCCACGGCTCTTTGGTTCAGATTATTCTGTATGCAGACTTTCTGGATCGCATTTGACTTTCAGAGCAAGAATTTCCGATTGGGCACTGGTCTGTGTTTCTTCATGCACATGCTGCTGTCATACAGCCAGGACTGCCTTCCGAGAATTAACACCCAAAAGTCTAACACACACAATGAAGACAAAGAAATATTTGTTTAAAGTACTGTCAATCTGTACTTTGCATTTACAGGATTTATGCATATGATCTTGGACAAAGTATATATTTTATCCACAGGGGAAGATGGCTTGGATGGTATATGTTCCAGCAGCCTGATATGTCTGAGACTCTGAAGACCGTCAATCACATGCACCGGGATTTGTAGAACAGCCAGAAAAAAGATCAGCATCCAAAATCCACACATGCATGAGACAATTTATGTTTGGTGCATAAAGCAAAAAACATAACTTGAGAGGAAATTAAATCCTGCGCTAAAAGTGAAGCATTAAGTTGATTAACAAGCCAGTTAAGGCAGTATTCACAGTAGCGCTATATAGCAATAAAGAATATACATTACGGTGTGTCCTGTAACTGTATAGTATCTATAAAGCACACACACAATCTTCTTGTATCCCTGTTTTCCTATATTTAAAATCCTTTTTGCACAAAATAGGAACACCCGGCCCTCAGAGGCAAGGCTTACAGGACAACATTTAAAAATGCTGATGCCTGCCATGTTGCAAAGCCCTACATCTTTTTCAACCATCTGAATGCAATCCTTTGCAATAGGACTCACACATGATACAACAATAATGTGTGATAGAAAAGTAATAGCAGTCAGTCAGGGCCTCATGTGTTCCTATCTAGGCCACTTGCCATGTTACTGCTGAGGCTTTGCATGAAAAAAAATAATCTTACTTTACATAAGGTGGTAGAGTATTACAAATGTGGGTGTATGATAGATTATGTAAACATTACATTAGCTAAAATTAGCTAAGCATAAGCTGGTCATAACAGACCAAGTTAAACTATAGTATTAAGTTTCTTCGTACAGCGTGTTGTATTGATGACGAGTTCTGCATTTCAATTGTACTTGTTTTTTCTTTTTAGCTCAAACTCTCTCTGCAGCTTGACTGTGCGCGTGTCAAACTGTGATATCAGAGCGGAAACATCTTGTTTCAACCCATTTCTGTTACATCCAATGGGAACAATGAATGAGCTGTGAAACATCTGCTTAAGCAAACCTTTCGAATTCTCCCCAGTCTTAGATCCTCGTTTAATGATTTCCCTATTGTTTCGGTATGTGTTGATGTGGCAGGCACTGAGGGTCTGCTACATCTCCAACAATGCTCGCATACTCAAGCATTTGGCAGCTAAATTCATTCTAAAGCTGAGTAATGCAGTTATGGGTGGATGAAAAGTGTATGTTTTTGTACATTTTACATAAGTCAGCTACTACCAGTAGATGCTGAAACAAACTTGAAAACAGATTGATGTTGAGTCAGAGTTTCATCCATGAAAACATGATTTTGGGACCCTGAGCCTTCCAGACCTTGACTGTTTGGGCTCCTTCGTGCCAGGCGTGTCGGCAAGAAGCTCCCATTTTCCAACATGCAGGAATATCCAACTTTCTGCTACCATTCTCAAGTGCCAAATTAAAAAAGGCAGCCTCTCTGTCTGTCTCAGTAGGTTCCCTACAAGAGCTTCAACATAAACACATCAATTGACAGTTGGCCTCCACAACATCTCCTAACCTCCCTGAATGATTAAATGTAGCTTACCGTTATGTTATAAATGTCTGACAATGGGTAAATACATTTTAACGAGGGCAATATCACCACGTTGAAAGTGGAAAGTCTGAGGTCAAAGCACATGTACGCTGCTCTAAATCACGCTCTCAGTGAAGCGGGTTTAATCTGTCATCTGACATGACATGAAGGCTACAGGGGCATCCTGGTTTCAGTTTAGAAAACACATTGTGATCCATGGAAACCAAACACAATGCTTCATAGGCAAAGAAGACATCAGCGCCTCTGTAGCTTAACTCCACTTTAGAGAGCATCAGCTTATATTGCCAGACCTTTCCTCTCAGGGAAAATATGCTCTCTGAAAAAAGAGCACATGCTCACGGCCCTTTCCAAAATAGTTGTCATCTCTTATTTCCCATCCTAACGGCTCCCGTGAAATCTGAGAAATGATCCAAGCGCGTCTGAGGGACGATTAATTTGTATGAGATCATGAATTTCCCATAACAAGTGTGAGTGTCACCGGTTGTTCACTCACCCTCTTTTATTGAGTTATATTGTCCTTCTCCTTCAGATATGCTGTTTGGGGTTTTCAAGGCACCCTTCTTGGTCTTCTCAGCCTTCTTGTTGGCTGTTTTCACTAAGAAAGGAAATAACATTAATGCAGGAACATACATCAAACTGTTTTCCATTTTAAAGAAGCACATTTGACAGGTCAAATCACCTTTAAAAGTGCTGATTCATTGTTGTTCACAAAGAGAGAAGTGTTGACACAGGAAATAACTAACTTTGGCTGGATTCAGTCCCACACATGTGGAGAGATTCAGGATCTGGGGTCTGAACCAAAAGACAATCTCCGGGCGCAGAGTTTGAAAATGTTTAACTGCTGTGCTCCTTTCCTTCAACTGCAGTATATCTCCAACTCACTTTGGCTAAGACAATGCTCATTTATGATTTGTATAGATTGATACCTTGTATAAGATGACTCGCTTAAGGTTCAAATCAGTCATGGAAGCCCCCTGTACAGGAGGCAGGATGGGGGCAGGGTGCATTGAAGTCAGGCCTGTGCTTTTTATTTGACTGACAGTCAGGTCATGATAGACGGCACCTAATAACAATCCTTCTCACATCTGAAAGTCTTTATCGTCGTCTCATTCTAGGGACAGGTTAAGTCTGCAACAATGCTCCAGGCTATGTGGTTTAGCGTAAGGGATATACTGTAGAGGGAAATATGATTTAGACGTGAAAAACAGATAATAATAATAATAACACAATACAAATAAAAAGCAGATATCCTCTTCTTCTTAATTCAAACCACTTAAAGCAGTACAAATCACTCAAATATCAAAAGTGTCAGAGCTTTGAATTAGGGTTGAAAACCATTGTTTTAAAAAAAAAACACTGCAGTGAATTCAATCTCACTTTCGGATTTAATGAATATTGAAAATGAGTTTGAGTTTAACACTGAAATTAAGGTTTTGTAGTGAAGGGAGAAAAAACTCTCATATTAGACAATGCCACACTATATTTTGGCCTATAGGACCATTTAACACACACATTTATGCTTTCATGTCTGTATTTACCTCCATGTGCAGTGTGATAGAGATAAAACAAACAAATCTTATCAAATGGAAGCAGTGGTTTTTACATATTAGACTCTAATCAAAATCCTTTAGCCCCACCTGCAGCAGGTATCTCTGCTGAGACACGTGAATCCAGATTCCTGGATTGTGAGGTCACGGTCGACACAGCTGCTCTGAATTATCTGCCACCAACCAACCGAAAGCCCTCATGCCTTTTACTGTCCTCCAATCAGCTGGCAGGATCTCAAACATACCTACAAACCTGCAACTGCATGTGCTGAGGGTCCCTTACAGAGAGCTCTGAGCTGCACGTATATGTGGACGATAAGAGCAGAGCTCTGCTGTGTCTCGCTGCTCTTGAAAAACGTGGATTTCACATGTGTTCTGGCCCCTTCATGTAACACAGTCCTGACCTCTGCCGTGGGTGAGAATGCTAATCCCACACAGAAACATGGCTCTGATCTATGCGTACAGGGAGAAGAAGACTACCAGAGGAGGTCACTGTTATTATATTTTTCTCTCTGCACATCCATCACCAGGTGATTTGAATTTAGCTGCTCCTCTGAGGTCTGGGTCGCATTAGTTTTCTTGGAGGAAAAGTATCTTTCAAAACACTAACCTAAGACTTCCAACACTGAAATTTAATTTTAAAGCATAAGCTGATACAAATGAAGGTAATATTTTGGTGAAATGTTGTTTAAGGTTTAGATCCAAATATATCCTTATTACTATATGCATACAATTAGAAATGTAAGTGTGTTTTAGTTTGATAGTGACAATGCCATTTAACATAGTTCCAAAACAGAGCATTAAACTGATGTGTATAGCTATTCAACTCCCTCGTTGGGCGTTTAACTGTACAGTATAATTCCATTATACAGTTTTTAGTTTCAGAAAACCACTGCAAAATGGAAATACCAATAATTACACTTCACATAATACCCATGCACCCACACCAATACGCATTTGCTAATTAAAGTACAAATAGTTAACAAAAGGGGGTAAGCTCTTTGGCCAGCACATACATATCTGAAATTCATTTGATTTCCATTAAATTCGTTTCTGCTCTTTGGCTAAATCAGGAAAGAGGCTCCAAGGCTAGACAGTGAATACTTTTTGGGACAGCAACATATGAGTTAATCTCTCAAAGTAAAGTATGTGAAAGTGATGCCAATGTACAATCCATTATGTTCAGTGCCTGATGATCAGGATGTAAGATTGTAGACAGTACGGGTTCTGTCATGTTTATTTTGTGGGGAAATGTCTTAAATCTTGACGGGAAAAGCTCAAATAATCAGCCATACACTGTCATCTAGTGGCAACACGTACTCATCTGGTTATTGAAAGGTTTTAGCAGGACTTTGTAAAGGTGATATTGTGAAGAACTTTTAGAGAAGAAAAATATTTTCTCAAGAGATGGCAATGCTTTTACCTGCTTTTGAATTAGCTGTGGCTTTATCCGTCTGCCTGCTGCTGTCTGCTTTTCCTTTGGTCCCTTTCTTTGCAGGTTTTGGGCTGGGCGGCTCATGCCTATCAGGTATTGAGGCCACAGGCTTCTCCTGGAACTGGTTGATATGCTCTCTTGTCAGCAGCTCCTGCATGTAGTAATCCTCATCCTCACGAGCAGAGCCATGGCTAAGGTCTACCAGCCCTGCGAGGAGTCCCAGCAGAGCCAGGGGGGTGAGGAGGGTGATGCGCTGTCTTGCCATGACCCGGGGGGATTATCTCCAGCTGTGAGTCCTGATGTCGTCTCCCGAGGAGCCTGCTGCTGCTGCCGGGCTGCGTCCCATCAACTTCTCCCCTTCCTATCCCTTTCCACTCCAACGCAGAGAGTTCACAAAGTTCTCAAAGCGCTCCAAGTCACTGACGAAAGGAGCGGAGCCAGAGGGTCCATTGACGCAGCAGTCTGGGAAAAATGCAGTGAGGGAGGGAGAAACACAGAGAGCAGGAGATGAGGGAGAGGAGAGGGAAGAGGCAGGGAGACAGACAGTGAAGTTCTCCCCTTTAGATGCTGGCAGGTGACTCAAAAAAGAAAAAAACTATTTCTATTATAGATTAAAACAAGTCCAGGCTGCTGACACATTGCTGAGTTATTTTATTAGTGTGGGCATGAGTGAAAAAGGGATGGAAGTCACTCTGGGGATCATACATTGACACATTTGGGATCTGCTTTCATCTCCATCTCCTCCCACTCTGTCTGGGGCAGGCTTTACGATGAGGTAAGTTTCTTCTTTCCTGCGGGGGAATCGACTTAAACTGCTCTTAACCAGTTTTGCAAGGAGAAGCAGAGGCAAGTTCCCTGATCCACGCAGAAGTGTGTTTGAAGTCCAAACTGGCAAAGAAATATGAGTTCCCAAAAAAAACAGTAGCAGTCATCTGCCCTGAAAAGAAAATCACACAGATGTTAAGGTTTAGTACAAAGTGCCCTTTGGGTTTTGAATGGCCTCTAACACTAAATGATATCCCTTTTCTGGGGAGAGTAAATAACTTTACGTCCTCATTTGCAGAGGGTTTTTCTAGTTTTTGCCAGGACCTGTTTGGACTCTGCAGTAATTACACATTAACAGGCTGCTGAAAATGAGTCGAACAAACTCTCTGTGGAGCGTCCGGGCACGTTCCGACAAATGGATGGAGTAATGCCCCGCATGTCACACCTCATCACATCAACGTTGTCTTTCCATCATGACGCTCCTTCTCTCATTATTTTTATTTTTATTTTTTTGTTCTCTCTCTCTCTCTCTCTCTCTCTCTCTCTCTCTCTCTCTCTCGTTACCTGTCTCTGTTCTTAGTTAGGACATTTACGGCTACAAATCACCATCTCTTAGGCTACGTGTGGTAACTACTATTTAAACTGCTGTTCAGTCATGAGGAAGCGAAAAGAACTTCGTTAAAGTCTAACCTTAAAACTTTACTAAGTGCTTTGTTTTACAGGTTTCTATCTATGAATTATGTATTATGTTTTGTTTAACCATGTATTTCCCGTTTGATGAAGTACACAACGGTGAAATTCTTTTGGTAGGTTGTGTAGGTTGGCTTAATTGCACCAAAAAACCGCAAAGCAAATAGAGACACAAACGTTTTCTAGAAGTCTTAAGACTTTTGTTAGGAGATTTTACGGTAATGAGTGGCACATTTGAGACGACGAACCTAAGACCAGACGAACGTCATAAAGGAATGACGTTGGCGTCCTTTCTTATAGTTCCCGATTCCCTTCTTATTTGGGCTATTGTCAGGGTTTGTGCTCATTAATTCCGAACCGACATATACACGATCTAAAAACATTCACGACTCCGGTATTAACCTGTTGTCTTACATGTCATACACTTTTACTCTCAAATTTTGGGACTCGACAAAAGTACTTCGAAAGGAAAGATGTTTATCAATCAAGGATCACTGACTTCTTTTAAGAGTCTTAGGACTGCAAACGAATTTTTCTTAAGGGGAACTCATCTAGAAACACAACTTACAATAATTTGTTTCGTAGAACCGGGAATACTCTCCACTATTCCACTTTACTAATCCTCACGACGTAGGGGACGTTTGGGAACAACAGACGGGGTGATTTGGTGACTGTGTGTCACTCCAAGGCCAGGAACTTTACCACCGTTTTGTGACTTGTCCTGTCTGCCTGACCAAATCTGTAGGAATTGGTACGGTATTAGCGTTAACGAGCAGCTTTTACATCTGGACGGAGGGTCTCCGTAGCGCCGAATGTCAGCACCGGAGTACGTCTAACCGCTTAACGTTGCACTGTGTACTCAAACGGTCAACAAAAAATGGCCACCGTCCCTCCTTTTCCTATAAAGTGGTCTGGGAATCCTGCCAAAGTCAGACTCTCCCTCACCGCTTGAGCTTACGGACTGGCGTGACGTTTTCTTGAGACGGTGGGCACCGGACGGAGCTCGACAGGGGTGGGTGAGGTGTGCTAGGACTAGGGAGTCACCTACACGGACGTCGGAGACGGAGAAATCGTAAGTCTTCGGGAGAAGTCAAAAGTCCACATTTTCAGCCTAAAGGGGTATGGGTTTGTATAAGTTTGGAAAAGACCGCAACCGTTGATAGTTGGGATAGTTCATAATACATTGCTCGCGTCACGTAAATTTAACCCATCCGCCCCCGTTGGTCTCACAATGCCCTAATAATTAGAAAGGAATTAAGTCGGACGGAATCCAACTGTTGTACAGGGTTTCCGGACGTGAATAATCAAACACGTTTACAAGTCAACTTAGGGTGATGAGGAATTCTGAATTAAATCCGAAGTTTCAGAGACGAATCTTTACTTGAAGGTTCACAAACTATATTGTTCAACCTAAGGCATAACTAGTTTGGACACAGAATGAGTTCCCAATCTTTAGATAGTCTTTTTGTTTATTACCAAAAATTAGTTCTGAATGACCGGAACCATAACAGAAGGAACAACTCCGATTTAATCGACTACGTCAGTACAAAACACACACACCTCTCTCCTCTCTCCTCTCTCTCTCTCTCTCTCTCTCTCTCTCTCTCTCTCTCTCTCTCTCTCTCCTCTCTCTCT